GTGTTCCCTCCCTCCCTCCCTCCCTCCCTCCCTCCCTCCCTCTCTCCCTCCCTCCCTCCCTCCCTCCCTCCCTCCCCTCCCTCCCTCCCTCCCTCCCTCCCTCCCTCCCTCCCTCCCTCCCTCCCTCCCTCCCTCCCTCCCTCCCTCCCTCCCTCCCTCCCTCCCCTCCCTCCCTACTGAACTGAACTGAGCTGCTGACACTGCTTTGCCCCCCTGTCCCCTCATCTTTCATATCTCACCGCTCTGTCCAACGCCCCAAGCCAATCCAACCCTCCCCCGTTTCGTGGACTGGCAGATAACGTTCCTGACAACTGGCGGTATGATGGCCCCCTCAAGGGAGGTGTCGTACGACCTGCTGGTGGGCGCGGATGGCGTGGGGTCGCAGGTTCGATCCGCGTTGTCGTCACATTGGTCGGATTTCAGTTTGGAGATTGACGACAGTGGTCGGGAGTACAAGGTGTACATGGGGCTGAAGGGAGACATCGAGCCGGAGGGTGAGTTTGCAGGGCGGCAGGGGAGGGAAGGGTTAATGCTTGGAGGGTTAGTTAGTGAAGGTGGGTCTACGCATTGACATACTTACATACATACGTGCATACATACATACATAAAACCCGCGTGACGAATCTCTCCCGTCACGCGACACACACCGCAGAGTTCAAGGGCCGTACGGGCGCCTCTCTGCACCTGTACACCTCGGACGACCCCTTCACCTCCTTCACCGCACACTCCAATCCGGACGGCACCTACAGTGGCACCTTCTCCGTACAGACCGGTGGGTTTGGGTGGCTGGTGGGGAGTGAGGGAGGAAAGGGGAATCAGGCGGTAAGGGGGTAGGTGGTGTGTGTGTGTGTGTATGTGGGGGGCGAGGGGGGAAGGATTAGGCGTCGGAGGCGTCGGAGGGCTTGCTTGGCGGCGTTATCGCGTCGCGTCGCGTCGGGTCGCCATGTGCTCATATTACCTTCCCTCACATACATGTGTGTATCTGCCCCTCCACCCCAACCCGCTGCAGCTCCACCGCTACTTAACCCCAACCAACACTATTGCCGTACCTTGCCGTACCTCGTCTGGCCGCGTCAAGACTCGGTCGCCCTTCTTCCCTGACCAGGCCCGTCCCCTTCCCCCCCGTACTACCCCCGTACTTCCCCCCCTACTACGCTTCCTCAGGCGGCTTCAAGTCTCTCGGCCAGCAGCCTGCCGACTACGAGGCCTTCCTCAAGTCTAAGTTCCGCGGCATCCCGGACGCCTGGCGGGCACCCGCGGCCGCACAGCTGGCAGCCAACCCGCCCAGCCCCGCGGGGAAGCGTGTGCGGGTTAGCCACCTGTACGGCCCTGGTTGTGTGCTGCTGGGGGATGCGGCGCATGCGGTCACGCCGGTTTTTGGCCAGGGAGCTAACAGCGCCTTGGAGTCGTGTCTGGTGCTGAATAAGGTGGGGGGAAGGGAGGAGGGGGGGGCCGCAGGGGGGAAGGGGGAAAGGTTTCTTACCGGGGGGGGGGCCCACCTCACAGGCGCTGGAGAACGAACAAGGGTCCCAACTCTTATCTCTCTCTCTTACCCCCTGTTGAGGGCGGGCTGGGGGAGGAAATCTACAAACCGGGGGGGGGCCAGAGGCCCCCAACCCATCGCCGCACTTCCGCTTATTAATATAATCCTGGAAAGATCGAAAAGGCCGTACATCCGTTTCGATGCTGCTGGCACGTTCTCACTCCCGCCCCCTGAATTCCCTCCTCCTTTCATCTCCCCGCTTCCACACCATAAGGCCCTTACGGAGGCTTCTGGAGACCTGGACGCCGTGCCACGAATCTTTAACGACAACCGACTGGCTGACGTACACAGCTTGTACGAACTGGATAGAAAGGCGTACAGCTTCTTCCGGTGAGGGGGTTTGGGTGGGTGAGGGGGGTAGTGGGGAAAGAGGCCGTGTGCGTGTTTTTTTTGCGGGAAGGGGAATGCACGAGGGGGGGGAAGAGGAGTTTGCGGATCCCGTTGTTGCGGTGGATGGACAGACAGACAGATTGACAGACAGGCATACGTTTCCCGAAACCCAGGCCTTGCCTTGTCACCACATTCCCCGTACCCTCCCCTCTCACATCCGCCACTAATACTACTGCTGCTGCAACTGCAACTGCAACTACTGCTGCTGCCACTGCAACTGCTGCAACTGCCACTACTGCCACTGCCGCCCACCACCCCGTTTGTTCTCTGCCCCCGGCCCTGACTTTTGGCTTCCCCTCCTTTTCTTTCCCTTCCCTTCCGCTTCCCCCCTTCCTCCAAACACGCCACATATACATACACACGTACACACAGCCGCAAGGGCCCCTTCGATCCCGACTTCCTTCAATTGTTGGCTCACGTGATTTTGGGCACTCTGCTGTCCAAGGTAGGGGCCGGGCCGGGCTGGGAAGGCAGGGACAGGGACTGGGGGGTGCAGGGAAGGGGGGGAGAGGGGTTCCCAAAGCGGCTCATCGGTTGTCAATACATTAGGGAATTTGAAGAGTCCGCGGAGGGTAAGGATGCACTGCGATGTGTGAATCCGTACTGTGTGATTTACTTGCCATCTGTTGAGGGTTCTGGGCCGACCTGGAAGGACGGGGCACGGGGGGGAACTAGGGGGGAAACTAGGGGGGGAGGGAACTTGCCACGCAGAAAATCAATTGGAATGTAAACAAAGCAATGCTGACGAGCGGCTTCTGTGCTGTACTGCTTTCCCCCTCTCGTGTAACTTCCCCCCGCGTGCTTGTGTTTGTGCTTGTGTTTGTGTTTCCAACGCCGCACAGATTGTGCCGTTCTTGTACGGCCCCAAGCCCGCGCTGCTGCGCCTGGGCAGCGGCATTCCGTACTCTCAGATTACGGCTGCCGTACAGCGGGACGCCAAACTTGCCGTGGTGCTGGGTGTTGCGCTGCTTGTGGGGGCGGTGGTTACTCTGGTCGCCAAGGCTCTCAAGGTCATCTAAGTCTAAGGACCTGCGTTGGCTGCAGTGTTGCTTTCGGAGCGGTCCCGAAGGAGGTGTTGCCTGATTAAGTGCTGTACACAAGCTTTTAGAGCTGCTTTTCCAGCTCCAAATTTTTGGAAAGTTGCCTGAACTGGACCTTATGGACCCGGGGAAGGAGGTGAGCCTGTCTGTCTGTCTGTCTGTCTGTCTGTCTAAAGTTCGTGCGCGTGGGTGTGTCTCTGTTTTTTTATAATGACGAGGTTGAGTGAGGCCGCGTGCATGGAGCTTTTAAACCCGTATTGCTATTATTGTCGCTGTGGTGGTGGTGTGGTGGTGGTGGTGTGGTGATGATGGTGGGTAGTTGCGGAGAGGGGAACAGGAGAGAGAAGAAATTGAAAGGACGAGGGGGGGGAGAGGGGGTGCGGCAGGGAGCTAGGAGAAGGGCCTGGCAGCAGCAGCAGTATCCAGCGGTATATATGTATAAAGCAGAAAACGTAGCAGAAAACGCGTAACGCGGAAGAGTTGGAACGGTTTTATTCGTGCGGAAGGTGGCCCCGCTGGCATCCCTACAATTTTCGCAGTACCTCAATGTGCTTTGGTGTATTAGCTGTCAAGTCTCATAATCCATTGAACCCTCGTAATGGGGGAAATAGCGAGTACCTCGCAAAGTAGTGGTAGGGGTCGTGGTGGTGGTCCTTTTTGTTGCTCGACGGTGGAACTCTTAGATGTATCTTCCCAGCCAATTTCATCAACCCTAAGTTAACAGCCTATTTTATTGAGTGAAAAAGAGCGGGAGAGCCGAGTCCAGGGCGATTTGGCGCTGCAGCGCCATCATGTGACACTCCGTTTCGCACCTACTGCAATTCGGCCTTTCCCAGTATTGCCCTGTGCGCCGGTTTCTAATGTACAGTGTTTCTAGGGTGCTGCATTTCCCTAAGTGTCTTGCGCAACAGAGGTTTTCATTCTATGGGTAGGTTTGCAGCAGGTGCAGGTACATCTCCGCGACGGCGTTCCTAGCTGGAAGTTGTGAAGGGGAAAGCTGCACAACGTTAACATCGAAGCACGGACGCACACGGAACCAGCTGGGTCGAAGATTGTGGAGGCTGCCTAGGAGGACCACACAGCGGAAGCTGTTCCATAGGAAACGTGATGGCAGAGCGATTACCTTTGCTTTGTCCGCTATTGGAGGTCAGTACCATGCCTACCCTCCATGAAGGTAGAGCAAAGGACACCAACCCTCTCGACCATGACCACGAAGCAAAGCTTGGTGGTGTTAAAAAACACCGTGGAATTAAGATGCGATAGGGAGTAGCTTAGCAGCTTTCTTGCTTAGGATTTAACCACCGAAGCCGTAGAGGGTGCGGCCCTGGCGCTTGAGGGCATAGACGACATCCATAGCTGTCACAGTCTTGCGGCGAGCGTGCTCAGTATAGGTGACGGAATCGCGTATGACGTTCTCCAAAAAGTTCTTGAGCACGGTTCGCGTCTCCTCGTAGATGAGACCACTGATACGCTTCACGCCACCGCGGCGAGCCAAACGACGGATGGCGGGCTTGGTAATGCCCTGGATGTTATCGCGGAGCACCTTGCGATGACGCTTGGCGCCGCCCTTGCCAAGACCCTTGCCTCCCTTGCCGCGACCGGACATTGTCAAGCAAAGTTGAAACGATGCGTTGGATTAGGAAGTATAGTACGTATCTTGTATTGTTACTCATTGAAATATTTCCGTGGGTACATATAGCCAACGCAGACAGCATGAGGCGCGGTTTCAGGCTCACCGAGCCGGGTCGGATCACCGCTCCAACCGCCTCGTACAACCGAATGCCGCATGAAACAAAACCAGCAACCATTACGTAATCCACAAGGATTGCTGACCATCGTTATATTGTGATACAGAAGCTGTTCACTGCTCACGCTCTCAGCTTTACATTGAGAATAAACAGGCGCAAAGAGGGTCTTTCCATTGGGCCCACTTTACACAACTTTTATCGGACGTACGGAATGTAAGCCATTGCTCAAAACTTAAAACTTACGTTAGCCCTCGGGTACATTAGTTGTTGCTCCAAAGGTAAATGCAATTTATCTTTTATATGAAATGATATAAAATGAAAGAGAGAAAAGGACTGAGAGGCCCGAAGGAGACGGACCTTACGAACAACAAAAACTTCCACGGAACTCCCGCTGAGTACCTTATATCAATGATGAGGCTAGCTTAAGACAACTTCGCGTGCAGCATGGCCATGTCAACCTCGAGTCGGGTCACCACCCCGCTTTCCCGGACTTACCACCACGAGTTGCACCATTCGCAAAAGTTGTTATGGCGGCCTCAACCAGATCGCGTCCCAGCGCAACTCTGCGCGCCAAACAACTTAAAAGCAAAATAAAAAAATCTATTGTCGTCGTTTTTGGCGCGTAGTGAGGCGGAGGTACAGGTTAGGTAGGAAATTGTCTAGGGGAGTCAGGGAATGCGAGCGGAAACATGCTGGGCATTCCAATAAGCACATTTAACAGACACTGTTGAGGATGAAGACATAACTTTGGAAGGGCTCCGTATTTTTCGGGTGGAGATGTCAAAGAAGGAAGCCCTGAGGCCCGATTACGGAGGTGTTGCACTGTACGTTTGGGAGTCACTCACGCGGGGTATTACGGTAGTGCACAAGGACAACCAGCTGCCAGGGTGCGAGGTCATATGGACGCGCATTAGCCTTTCTGCGGGTGGTAGTCTCCTGATGGGAGCCTGCTACCTCGCACCAGAGACGTCCAGGGTCTGCAGCAGCGGAAACAGTTTTTACCAGGATCCAACAGGCACTGACGGAACTCAGGGTTGGCGATGAGGACGTAATGATAGCCGGGGACCTTAACGCACGTCTGTCTGGAACACAGCATGAGCGGAACCGTGCTACCCGGATGAACCGACCCGCTTACGTGAACGACATCCCGGACTTAGAGCAGTTGCAGGCTGTACACGAAGACATGGGTTCTGAAGGGCTGAGGGACTATCAGAATTATGATAGACTCGGAATTCGGAATTGCCAGGACCAAGTTTGCAATTTCTTTGGTGCCCAGCTTGGGGCGCTCTGCAGATCCGAGGGACTGCTCGTGATGAACGGCCGGATGAGAGGGGACCCAGAAGGCCGCCTAACTTTCCCTAAGGGGGAGGCAGGCGGTATTGTGATCGATTTGCTCATAGCGGCTCCGCGTGTGCTTCAGCAGTACGCCAGCTTTCTGAGGGTGGGAAATCTGATCGAGTTGGATGGATGGGAGCCCACCGACAACCGACCACCGCCCTTTGACGCTTGTTACAGTGGATGATGAAGGCGCGTGTAGGGGCGGTAAAGGCCGGAAAGCCCGGGTGGAGTTTGATATTGCTCGTAACCAGGATTACGCGGAATGTTTTGAGGGGGGGTCCCCTACTATGAATGCCTTAAGCCAAGTGGCCCGGGATATGCAGAGTGGAGTTTGCAACACCACACAAGCTGTCGAAAGTATTGGAGGTGCCCTGTACAAAGTCCTGGTGAGGGCCTTCGATACCCACCGACCTACCGGCATGACGGCAGGTGGGGATACTGTTTGGTGGAACCGGGAATGTCAACAAACGCGGCAGCGCATGTTGGAGGGTAGGGCCCAGCTGGGTCCAGGCCGGGTGAGTAATAAATCGGGTCCGGAATGGGAGGCTTTCTGCCATGCGCGGACGGATTACAACCGGGCAAAAAGACATGCAAAGGCGGCATACGAGGAGGACAGGATGAGAGATTTTGTGGTCAAATGTCGGCATGACCAACGAGCTTTGTGGCGGGCTTTAGGAGGGAAGTTGAGGGAGCGATGTGCGATAGATGATACTGAGGTCTTCAGGGAACACTTTGCTGTGCTATTTTGTAAGGGAGACAGGGCCTGATGGTGCGAACCGGCTTTTGAACTTCATTAACTTCATTAACTTTGGGCAGTTCCTAGAGGGGCAGGAATGGCGGTCATCCCACTCTGTTTTGGGCAGGACTGCGAAGGCAGCAGAAATCCTAGACCCTCCCCCCTCACGCTGGAAGAAGTCACACGTGCTGTTGACCGGCTGCCTAACAGTAAGGCACCAGGTTTGGAAGTAGCGCCGTCAGAATGTTACCGCTATGCGCGGTACCGCTTTGCCTCGAGAGGAAGAAGGCTCCGCGTCGGGTAATGGTAGGGGCAGGCGACGGGGGGAAGTGAATCAGCTTGTTCCGGTACTGCACGTGCTTTTGGAACATATCAGGGCGACTGGGGACTTCCCACGGCAGTTTACAACTATCGTCCTCACCCCTATTTACAAGAAGGGGGATCCCAGCATGCCGAGTAACTACCGGGGCATAGCAGTAGGGGGCGCCTTGGCGAAATGTTACGCGCTGGTCCTCCTGGATAGGCTCGTTCGCACAGGGGAGACGCTCTCGCTTACGCACCGAGGCCAGTCGGGTTTCAGAAGAGGATTCGGTACTACACATCATCTCTTTGCCAAGCAGTACCTTACTGCTAGGCACAGCCAACCGGGACAGCGGCCGTTAATCATTGTGCAAATTGACTTTGAGAAGGCGTTTGACAAGGTGCCGCGGGAGATGATGTGGCTTCGTTTGTAAGAGAGAAGGGTTGAAGGGTCCATGCTGCGGTCGCTGATGCGGGCGTATGACAAGGTTACAATGGTCATCAAGACGAATGGCAAGGCTGGAGGTGAATTTGAGTCAAAACAGGGTGTGAAACAAGGCTGTCCATTATCTACTGAGCTGTTTGGGCTCTACATTGAAACTCTCGCGGACGTCATCGATATGCACGACGGTATTAACACCGGGGCACGGCCACAGGATGCACCGGAGGTTGGAAATGAGCGAGTGCCCATCTTCCTCTATGCCGATGACGTTAGCTTTCTGGCAACAACACCGGGACGCATGGGGGAGCTGCTCAACATAAGTATAAGCATTGGATGGGTCTGGCGGCCGAGCAAGCAGGCAGGAAGGAGGTGCTCCCGCATATCACAATGTTTATCCCGCGTTCAGCGAATCGCAAGCTTATGCAGTTTAGGCTTTGCTGTTGGGCATTGGCGGCTAACAGAGCGCGTAAGGGACGGCGTTATATACCTAGGGAGGAGCGAGTATGTCCTTGCTGCGGCACTGATAGCCATATCGAGGATGGGAAGCACATTTTGCTGGATTGTCGTGTACGACAAAATCAGATCTGGTATGGGGTTTCCCACGCTTCGAGCATATGAAGGACGCTATGAAGTGGGAACCTGAATGCCGAGCAAGGATGCTGGAACGTATATGGTAACACCGCAACTCTATCGTTCCCTTTGGTCGTTAGTATCCTTCATCACTTGTTTCGTTGGAAGTGCGAGGTAGGATGGTGCTTATAGACGATCTGGCAGCCCTTGAGCCCTCGGCTCGTATTAGGGTGGTTTGCAGGTACGAGGAACGCACCCACGACCATGTAACAACAACAACAACAACACACGCACACATGGTTGGGGGTGCGTGACCCCATACCTGTAAAACTACCCATACGAGTCCATCGTTCCCTTTGGTCGTCAGTATCCTTTATCGCTTGCTTTATTTGAAGTGCGAGGTAGGATGGTGCTTATAGGCGACCTTGAGCCTTTGGCTCGTATTAGGGCGGTTTGCAGGTACGGGGAACGCACCCGCGACCATGTTACACACACACCAGAACTTGATTTGCTGCAGAGGAGCCCTAGGAAAAACCCGCCCGATGCAAGCATCCCCCAACCCGTGGACAGGCCTAGAGAGATGTCTCCATTGCGAAGTCTGAGATCCTGCTAAGCCGCAGCCGCGGCTACTGCTCGCCACGCAGCAGTGGTAGCAGGGCTTCAACACCATAATAGCCGAGGAGTTCGCCGTGTTGCAAGACGCGTATCCGGGCAGCAAACTACAAGCGTGTCGAACTCAAGTGGATTGGAGGACAAAACCCAACGAGATCACTCCAAAAGACTTGATCAGGGAATGTACACGCTAGTTAGCACACTTCTACCTTGTAAATTACAGAATATAAAAGCAAAGCCGATGCGGTACAGCAGTGAGGTTCCAGAAGATGGTGGTGTTGAAAAACACCGTGTTATATTGAAGGATAATGCCAAGCAGCTTAAACAGCAGCCGAGCCATCCTCGGCCTTGCCCTTGGACTTCTTGGGCAGCAGCACAGCGTGGATGTTAGGCAGCACACCACCGGACGCAATGGTCACATCGCCCAGGAGCTTGCCCAGCTCCTCATCATTGCGGATGGCAAGCTGGATATGGCGCGGAACAATGCGATTCTTCTTGTTGTCACGAGCTGCGTTGCCTGCCAGCTCCAGCACCTCGGCAGTCAGGTACTCCAGCACAGCAGCCAAGTAGACAGGAGCGCCAGCACCGATGCGCTCAGCGTACTTGCCCTTCTTCAAGTAACGGGCAATACGGCCCACAGGAAACTGTAGCCCTGCCTTGGCGCTGCGGCTGACAGCTTTCTTTCCTGCAGTCTTACCCTTGCCACGGCCGGCCATTTTGCCTAAGTGAATGTGAGTCGAAAAGAGTTAGTATTAGAATAGTTCGTAGAAATTTGATAGTTAATATTAAGAGCACAAAGGTTTTATACTTTATAAGTTACGACCCTTCGATCCATACGTTGACAGTTAGTCCGAACAGGTTCGGATCGCCGGGTCTAACTGTCAACTGTCTTTTTCGAAAGTCCTATTAAATGCTTCCAGGTTTAATCTTCCAAGTAAATCTCACAAAAACTGTTTTTCAATACTGGTATTTGTCTATACTTTCTCTAATAACAATGGCCCCAAAGAACGTCAAGGAGGAGAAGCAGGAGAAGGCTGAGGCTGTTGAGCCCAAGGCGGAGGCCAAGCCCAAGAAGGAGAAGGCTCCTAAGAAGGAGAAGAAGGCGCCGGCCAAGAAGGCAGCTAAGGAGCCTTCGGCTGCCGGCGATGACGGTGACAAGAAGGCCAAGAAGAAGGCCAAGGTTTCTAAAAGCGAAACCTACAAGCTGTACATCTACAAGGTCCTGAAGCAGGTGCACCCAGACACTGGCATCAGCTCCAAGGCCATGTCGATTATGAACAGCTTCATCAACGACATTTTTGAAAAGGTCGCCACCGAGGCCTCCAAGCTCAGCCGCTACAACAAGAAGCCCACCGTTACCTCTCGCGAAATCCAGACCGCTGTTCGCCTGGTGCTGCCAGGCGAGCTGGCCAAGCACGCCGTGTCGGAGGGTACCAAGGCCGTCACTAAGTTCACCTCTGCGTAAGCGAACGGTCCGTTCGTCACTTTATACCCGGTGTTTTTAAACACCACCACACAGTCGTGATCGCGTGTACTTTCGCTCACTTGTTATGTTGCCCTAACCCTCCGGCGCACGACGATGCAGTCCCCATACTGGAACTCCGATCTGACTGGAATATGAATGCCGTCACATCTGCTACTCTCATGCACTGCTCTGTCACCATTCGGCAACCCACGTAACACCTTTCCAGCAGCTTCCTTAATTCCCGCCAGCCACTGATTGCAGCTGCTGTGGGAACTGCATCTGACGTACATATTCATACAGTGCAATCGCGCCGCTCACGTGCACGTTCAGCGACCGGATAATGCCGCGTTGCGGAATCTCCAACGTCGCGTCAAGAAGCGATAGCACCTGTGGCCGGGAATAACAGCGTCACCGAAGAGGCTGTCAGACGTTGCACGCACTCAAGTGTACCAGATAGTGGCGCCAGCAGCCAGCATGGATGGGTCAGATAGGACGTATAGGTTGGTGTCTCTTTTTTTGGAGTATGAAAATTGCGATCGGGGTTGGCATCATTGGTGGGCGCAGCGTGACAGCGCAGAGAGCCGCTGGTGCTGCGCAGACAAGGGGACATGGGATGTATGGATGTATGTATTCAACCACCACATCCCCCTCGGGTCTCACCTCCGGTGGGATGCCCTCCTTCTCCCGACCCAGCACCAGCACCACCTTGGCTGGCCATCGGTAGTCGGGCAGCCGCACGCTTTGAGCCGTCTGTTCCAGCCCTACCAGGGTGTACCTGCAAGAAGACACACACCACACCACACACGTTTTTGGCATGCGAGCATCTACGGTTAGATCTTTTGTTATCAATGGCTTTTCAATGTATCTCATGATCTCATACTTTGTACAGCCAAGCTGCAAAGCGGAGCCGTGTGAACATGACCTGGCCATGCACCCACCCAGACAAAATGCCAAATCCCCAGACGCCCAACAAACCAACAATTCACTGTCCACAGTCCACTATGCCGCCAGGTCCTAGCTAAAAGGTCCAAGCCAGGCGTTGCGGTGTTGCCGCTTCAGCCCCCGATGATGCGTGCACTGCTCGCGGCTGGGTCTTGCTTGGAACGGCGGGGTGCTCCTTATTCCAACCAACAACAATACCCCAATACCCCGGCCCAGTCCAATCTCCCAAGTACTCCGCAACCCCACGTTGCCCAACCCATCCACTCACCCTTCCGCCGCCCTCCGCTCCAGCCAGGCAAGCAGCGCAGCGGGCTTCACCTCCTCCATCGGCAACCACCTGGGAAGAGGAAAAGGGAACCGCGGAGAGGAAGTGGGTCTTAAAGAAAGGGGAAATGGACTTCATGGGAACCGTAAACACCTCTCCATCCTAGCGGATTTAGCACGGAAAAGAGAAACAGGCGCCGAATCCCGGGGCACCAAAGGCACAAGGGAGGACACCGTCTATGGGGGAAAACGGCAATTACCCTCCCTAACATCAGCCCGCGACTTGCGGGCTGGGGAAGACAGAGGCCAGTGTGTGCAGTGCAGCACAGCCAAGCTGCACCTTGGCACACAAGCACTGCTCCCAAGAGGCACAGAACCGCGTTACCCCTTCCCCCCCTTCCCCTTATGCGCCCAGCCCCCCACCACCATAGACACACATTCCGACACTCACTGCTCCGCGGTAACGCTGACAGAGGTGAAAACCGGATCGCGTGTGGCCGCCAGGTCCGCTAGCACCAGTCGTCCCGCGCCCATCACCTCACAGGTACGAGCCAGCCCAGCCAGGTTGGGCAGCTTGTCGATGAGAGAGGCCACCAGCAGCACATCATGACGCAGGTGTCGACTGCACGAGGAGGACCTGCAGCAGTGCGCCAGGGCCACGGAGGGGAGGACTTGAGAAAAAATAGAGGGTGGGAGGTATGGGAAAACCGCGCCGCGCCATGTATAGAAGAGAATGCAACGACGGTGGGACGGCGGGAGGGCAGGAGGTTGAAGAAGAGGGCCTCGGAGGAAGGAAAAGACGACCGGCTAAGAGGAATACGGTTGGAGGAATGCGAGGGGGGTAAGGAGGCGCGGCACGCGTACTCTCTTCACTGCGGTGAAGATAGGACAAGACAGGACAAGCAGGCAGGCAAGCACCGCGGGTGCCCCGGATCGCGGAGGCGTTGCATAGTATACATAACACGCCGTCCGCTCCCCGGCGGCACCTAGCCGCTGCGCACCACCCCACCACGGGTCCTCCCCCCGATCGAGGTCCCGGACCCAGTCCCAGAGCACCGCACTCCGCAATGTCATTATTACTACTTGACAGTAGCCATTGTCGCCAAGTTCCCTCCTAACACAGCAGCAGCAGCAGCAGCAGCGGCCCGCTCTTCAATTCCCGTTTCCCGACTAGACCTGAGGTACCCACTTCCAGTCCTGCGCCGCCTGCACCTCCTCCTCTTCCTCCTGCTGCAGAAGCTCAACCAGCCCGACCTCGCCGTCGACTACCGCAGCCCCGCCGCCACCCGTTCCATGTGCTGCCGCAGATGCCGGGCCGTGCAGTGTCAACGTCGCCAGCAACGCCTCTGGTTTTATCTTCCGCTGGAAATCCCCAATACCGCCAACACCGCCAACGCATATTGAACCACCGTCGGCAGCAGAGGCGGAAGCCGATGTGGAGGCGGAGACGGCGGAGGCCGAGGTGGCTGCCGTGCGGTTGCCGGGATTCTGCGGCGCGAACTCGCGCTCCGCGGCCCGGTCCGCCAGCTCGTCCCGCAGGCGATGTCGCTCCGAAATCAAAAAGGCCTGGATGCGGTCCACAAGAGTGGATGGGGCGCCTTCAAAGGTGGCCTGCTCGATTGGAGAGCCTGTGGTGGAACACGTCGAAGTAGGAGAGCTGAAGACGTTTCGGATCTCACGGAATTTCTTAATGGAAAAGGCAAACATAAACCATGGCGTAATCTGGACGTAAAAAAATGCGATTGCTGCTTAACAAGCTCGTGTCCTCAAAAAAGGAAAGGAGGAAATGGAAAAGAAGACAGTCAGTCCGATGAAAAGAAGAGCATGGGGAGGGGTTGCGGAGCGCGGACGCGCGAAAGTGGGCCGGGCAGCCAACAGGAGTCGTCGATTTGTAAGCTACCCGCATCCGCCACTTCCCGCATCCAGCCCCAAGGCCCCACAGTTCCTCTCTGGATCTCTCCCCAGTGTATCCGCGCTGCTGCGTTCTACAAGATCTAGAGCAAGTCCAACGGTAGGAAGGAAAGACGACAGGAAGGGCCACAGAAGGGCGGGCAATGGTGGGTGCAGAACGGTGCAGAACGGAAGCAGCGGACGAGGGGCTGCTCAACCCCTCCCCTTCCTTACCTGCCAGGCACACACCGTCGGGTGAGGATGCGAAGACGCGGGCCGGGTGCGCCATGGCCGCTGGACTCCACTCCAAAATGGGGTCGCCGATATTCCTGAACGGCGGCGGGAAGCGGAAATGAAGAGGAGGGGAAGTTTATGTTAACGAATTCAGGAAACTAGCAGATGGGGTTAGAAGGGGGGGGAAAGAGAGAGAGAGAGAGAGGGAGAGATGCGTGTTGACAAAGATGTGGGAGGAAACACCGCACACTTGTGCGTTGACCAGTGAAACGTCACGGTTCTGCCATCTCCCGCCCCATCCTCCATCCCCCCTTCTTCCCCAACAACGCCTTTTTCCCTTTCCTCCTTTCCCGCTGCCCCTTTCATCGCCTTTCATCAGCGACCGTCTCCTCACCTCCGCAGTCTCACGAGGTCCACGTTGGAGTGCATGAAGGCAAGCATGTGGCGCAGGTAGCTCAGGTCCCCTGGGTGGGAACATACATACATGAATACATACATGCATATACACATACACATATACACACATGCATAAACATACAAGTGCACGTACACACACAGACACACGGGGATATGACGGTAAAGCAGCAGGGGCGTGAGCCGAGGATTGAAAACAAGGAACACAGAGCGACATTGATGAAGGATGAAGATGAAGGTGAAGAACTACAGATGGCCCTATAGCTCTCAGGCCACGGTACACCAAATGGCCCTTCCCGAACCACTGCTGCCCGTTCAGTGGTCATCTACTCAAAGCCACGCCCTCCCACCACCTCCTCCTCCGTCTGCATCAGGAAAAACGCAGACATACACACGCGCCGCCGTGTGTGCCGAAGACAGCTCGAAAACGTCCCTTACTCTCTACCCTCTACCCCCCTTCCTCCTACCCCACCTAATGAGTGCTCCCATAGCGGCGCCTCGGGCGGGAAGCGCTGCAGGAGCGCCCACATGCACAGCTGTGCGTAGGTACGGACGTTGTGTCCGTGGCACATTAGCCAGGGGCACAGCGCCAGCAGCAACGGCCGCAGCTGGCGGCGCTGTACGGCCGGAGGCGAGTGCAGCAGCACCTGCGCCGTGATGAGGATGTACGATCCCAAGCCGGTCATGTGGCGGCTGTAGTTGCTCAGCATCGGCAGTAGCTGGTCCTCGAGAATGGAGGGCTGCGAGGTAGCGAGGTTTTAGGAGAGAGGCGGGCGGGGAGGGGGGGGAAATGCGGATGGGGGGAAAGACGAACCACGGACGAGTGAAGCTGATGCCAAGGATAGGCGGATACGCCAGAACTAGGGAAGCAATAATTAACCAGGGGGGGAAGGGGAAGGCGGGTGCAGGTGCGAATGAGGAAGGGGGAAGGAGGGCGACCTGCGCGCGGATGACTCTGAAAGCTGCGGTGCTTCACTTTCTCGGTTTTAGGTGCCGACGAAAAACAGGGGGAACAGGAGGAGGGGCGCGAGTGGGCAAGGGTCTGGTCCGAGAGCCGGTGCTGATGAAGGTTAGGCCTAAGGGTCAAGGAAGGGGAAAAAAGAGGTTACCCGACCTTTCATCCGCTCATCTTGAGTCCCAACCGCCGGCGATTATGTCTTCCTCTCCCCCCAAGGATGTGCCTCCGGGTCCCAAAAATTGCGACATCGCAGACGCACACGTCGCCCGGTGCACCTTCCCTCCACGCACCCTTTCCCAACGCCTTCTCCCCGTACCTCCCGCAGCACCAGCGCCGCCACAACCGCCTCAATGTACTGCTTGACCGTTGGAGGGTTGTTGCCGTTGACCTGGCCCAGCATCGCAGCCACGGCGGACCCGCACTCCTCCCTAGGCACGAAGCTGGTCAGCACCACCAAGGACTGCCACAACCGGACCTTCTGCCGATGCAGCTCGCTGCCGTTGCGAACCTTGTCCGTAGATAACAGCGGGTCGTTAAGCCCAACCGCCAGCAACTGATGCCAAAGCAACCGCCCGGCAAGGAGGGCGGGATCATTGGGGTCCTCCGCCGGCGGCGCACCGTAATCCGCCAAGTCCGAGCCTGCGTCAATATCGGCGCCCGCGGAGGGCGCCGGCGCCGACTGCGCATGCAATGAGGCGTTGGTGGCGGCGGAGCCGTCCCCAATTGCCGTACTGCTGGCGGCAGCGGAGCATACCGCCTGCTCATCCCAGTCCGATGAGTCACCAAAGACAATAACGGGACGGCGCTTCGGCACATCGCTCGAGGTCGTTGATGCGCCGCCGCCGCCGCCCCCGGTGGTTGCCGCCACCACGGCCGCCGTTGTCGCCTCCGTCGTCGTCGTCGTTGTCGTCGTTGGCGGCGGCGGCCAGATACACCTCGCCTTCTCCGCCAATTGGTGTAAGCAGCACAGCAGCGCCACCCTGGGGGCCACCTCAGTTCCAATGGCTGTGTTGGTCACCAGTCCTGGCTCCAGGGGGGCCGCCACGGCGGACTGCTCCTCGGCTTCGGGGCCATCGGAGGTGACGCCGTCGGGGTCGTAGGTGGCTGGCGGCCGACAGGGACAGGGGAAGTCGTCGTGACGGCAACACATAGAGGGGTCACGAACATGAAAGTCAAGAGGGAGAGTGAAGCCAGAAGCAAAACAGAATGGCAGATACGGCAACGTGGCGCGGTGTGTGGAAACCCGAAAAACATGGGAACATACGGACTCCTCAGCGCATCCTGTTGATGGCCAACATGGCTGGTGGTTGCGTTGCCATACAACTCATGGCCCTATAAATATACCGTGCTGGGGGTCACGATGGGCAGCATCTCTCCCGGTTACCTGTTCGAATCCGCTGTAATCATGTCATTTTTGCAACCCAATCAGCTGACCACGCAGAGAGAAAAACCCACATGCCCTTTAAAGTAAGCCACAGCCTTACACAAGCGGCCTGCAACTCATATACGGAGACAAGCCGTAAGTACACACATGCGCACACGCCGTACACGGACGCAAGAACCTTCACACATGCACGGCATAACTCATTACCCCTGGGTCATTACCCCCCACATACACACACGCCCCGGCCCCTAACACTCACATCCCTTGCGGCTGCCCCAGAGCAGCAGCATCTGAATCTCTCGGCAGTAGCACTCCACCAGCGCCGGCTGTAGCGGCAGAAAGGAGCCCAGCTGGCAGGCCAGCAGCAGCAGGAAGCGACTGCTAGTACCTCCCCAGTCTAGAAGGCGCGACAGCAGCCAGCGACATGGGCCCGAGGGGCCGTGCAGAGCCCGAAGCTGCGCAGCACCCTGAGGCTCCCCAAATCACCCCCAGCCAACAGTAAGTAACCCACAAAACGACAGGGGGAGGTAGAGAGTCAGAGGACGTACAGCGGTCAACGGAGGCCAGGATGCACGGGCCAGTACCTCAAGCCGGGACTCCCCCCTGCAGCCGGCGACACACGTCTCGAAAGCTGATCTGGAAGCGCTGAATGGGGAAACCGGTGAAAAACCAGAAGGCGGGGAAAAACCCTTGGCAACGCAATCCGTCAGCCCTTTAGGCCCT